TTGTCTTATTGACTTGAAGAAAAGACATATAGCTGATTATAGCTGATAAAACATTAGCGATAAAACATTAGCGATAAAAGGGACTAACTTGTCTCGTTGATGTTCCACAACATTAAACGTAACTATAAACAATTAAAAAGCATGACGATTCACAATTCACAAATTTTTAAAAAATTTAATTCACAAATTAAAAATTGGAATGGTTGGCAAATCACTGTGGTATAAGATGAATAAAACACTATGAGCATTGCTGTTACAGGATCGAGAATTCAACAGAGATGTGGTATTAAAACCTTTATTCCATATATCATATGTTGTGTGTGTTTATTACTGAAAGGAGTGTTTGTAATGTGTGTTTGTTCTGTTTTCTCCTTACCTGCTGCACCCTCCTGGAACGCTTCTGACCTTCCCAGTCACATGTAAGTACTACAGGTCACATATAATCAACTGGAATATAATACATTTGTGTTGTCACACACTGAGCCACAGGAGTAAATTGAGTGTTTAACCATCTTCATTAAAACCATAACAATGTCATATTAGTGTAGTCGTACACGCAATATAAACATGCCAGTATAATCACTCAATCTAATTTGTTCCATTGAAATGATGAGACTAATCATTCCTACTCATTGACACTCATTCTTTACTGATTGAGTTATTATTGAATTGTAACACATTGCTATTGTTGCTTTTTTTTTTGCTGTTGTTCGAATGTTGAATATGCATTTATGTGTGCACCGATGCTGCAGGTGATCTCATCTGATATGAAAGAGGACCACATTTTTCGGCTGACGGGAAAAGGAGCGGATCAGGATCCGAAAGGTGTTTTCAGCATCAACAAACTGACAGGAGAGGTTGCAGTGAGCCGCGCCCTGGACCGAGAGGCCATAGATTTCTACCACGTAAGTATCAATGCACAGTTTTGCTAGATATCTTGTTTTGCATCATAACATCTGAGGTCATATTGTGAAAGACTGAACAATTTTTTCTTTTGTTTTTGGAATATGTGATATATGTGATAAGCAGGAATGATTTTCTGCATTCTGAATAGCAGAAATCACCATTTATTTATTTATTTGTTTGTTTGTTTGTTTACATACAAACATACATTTTCCAGGGTTTGCAATGAGCTTTCATTTGAAATTAATGGCTGGAAATGTTTGATTTTTCCATTGTAAGTGGACTTAAATACTGTAATTTAAATAGTTTCATAATTTTCCAACTAGTCAGATTTTACTTTGGTGTAATGCAGTGAAGGCAGTAACAAACATGGCATACACCACTCTCTTCAGTTTCTCCAGTTGTCATCTGCACTGAAAGCATCTAAGCCTTCTACCTTTAAATCATGACTGAACTGAATTGCCGCAGAGAGCAATCTTTGAGTCAGTGGTAATCTAACCTAACGTTTACCCATCCTGCATTATTCAGCATATACACGCCAGTACCAATATTCAAGCAAATTGTGACTCCAGCCTGGACAGACCAATTTAATTTGCTTACTTATAGTTTGTGTTATAGATACTCTGTCTAAAAAATCAGACTCAGTAAATAAATCAGATTTGGCCTGGTGTATGAACAAAGCGTAAGTGTTCAGTTTATTCTCATAGAATTTGCATCGATGTATCGCAAGCGGAGTCATGTGTCTTAACAGTGCAATATGCCGTGGCAGTGCCATTAATGGAAAGTTGTATTTTGAGGTCTGCGGATGAAGCCAAGTCGTTTTACTCAAAACCAAATTGTTTACTGTAATGCCAGCCTATATATCCAACCAATTTCTGTGCAGAATTGTGTCTCTTTAGCGATAAAGTTAAGGTAGAGGGTGAATTGTCATCTGTTCTGTATGATCAGTAATCACTCAGCTAGATTCTTTGTGTAAGTGTCTGGTCTGTGTAACATGTTCTCATAAAAAAAAAAAAAAATGTAGCCATTTTCTAAAACATAACACCCTGACAGAAGAAAGGCTTTGCCCCATGGCTACAGCAGATAACACGAAAGATAATGTGTAGCATTTGATTCTGCCACTCAGTTGATAGTTGATCGAACTACTTCTTTCATTACAGACCTTGGTTAATTGTTGCTGTCCTTCGTTGCTGTTCTGTTTTGGGGCATTCTAATAAATAAAGTGTTTGAGCAATCTGGCTCATGCTTGCTAGTCATCGTTTCTTTTTACTCTTATTGTGCTAAATATGCATTCGTATCATTCTTCTTGGCATTTATTTGAGGCCCGAGCACACATAAATGGATAATTTTGAAAATTTATTCTTTTGTCTCTGGGTTTTGGCCTCTGGTCCACACGATAAAATGCATTTTGTGTCACTGAAAATTAAAAATTTTCGAAAAACTGCCTCCAAGGTGGAGAAATCGTGAATATATTTTAATTGTTTTTGTATGGGTGGGAAAAAAGTTTGTTTTTGAAAACGCTAATTGCTCATTGCTGTTTTGTGTGTGTTATGAATGCACTCGGACTCCGTTTATCATGCTGACCAGGTTGTTAGTTTGTGGTCTGTAAGTACTTATTTGACAAAGTGTTTGCAATTTAATATGACTCTTTTTTTTATATATATATATATTTACACCCTTGTGTAGAGGTGTCAGAATATGATAAGTGCTGTACTGTTTTTGAATCCACTGCAGTGGAGCAAACACTTTTCAAAGAGATTTTGTATAAGATTTTGCTCTTCTTGTCTTAGATTTCAAGTGTAATCTGATGCAGCCGTTCCACCTCATGGCCAGTCCACACATGCAAATCCATTTTGTCATTTTTTGTTGTAGAACTTGTTGGTGTTTTTCTGCACTTTGTCTTTTCAATGGCTATGAATTCTCAATATGAAAAAACAACAAGTTTGTGTATCTGCATATCTGTGTGTGTGAGTATGTTGGATGTGTTCTCTCCTCCTGAAGCTGCCTGTGCTTGTGTAGTGTGTTGAAAATCAGGTGAGATCAAAGCCCCTGCTCAGCGCACCACTTGACATTTACATCTCTCTATTTGCTGTCCACACACACAGCTCCGCAATCACGGCCACAACCAGCAGCACTCATGCATCATAGCCTGCCATATTTGCTGTGATGTGATGAATGAGTGAGGCTGACCCCGCCTGGCTTTACATGCACACATCTCTCTCTCTCTCTCTCTCTCTCTCTCTCTCTCTCTCTCTTTCTCTCTCTCTCAGCTGGATTGGCAGGTTTGTGAGTGAGTCATAAGCTGAAGCTCAGTTGTGGTTTAAAAAAAGCAGCACCTCTCCTGGAATGGGCTGAAAGCCCTGCTTCCTTAATAGCATGTTTTTGTGCTGCACTACACTCTCCCTGTCTAATCAAACAGATGGGCTTGTTCCCTTGCTCTCATCTTGGCCACCTGACACACACACACACACACACACACACACACACACACACACACACACACACACACACACACACACACCTAATCAGACTGCCGCACATTGCCTAATTCTGTGGCAGCAGGAACGACTGCATTTTTCTGTCTGTTTCCTGTACAGCACATCAGGAATAATTACAGTTGAGCTAATTCCAACTCATTTTCCAGCAGCAGTAATCATCTTCATAGATGACGAAGCAGATCTGAGCCAGGCTGCTCTCTCAGGCACCGTGACGGATGCCATGTCCCAGTCCCTCAATACACACGGCTCCAGAAGCTCCAAAGCTCCAAAGCCTCCAGTGCAGTTCTTAATCTTTATTCTCAATACCCAGATGTGTGAGAGCTTGTGTGTGTGTGCACGTGTGTGTGTGTGTGTGTGTGTGTGTGCTGGGGATCAGCTTTCTTGCAAATCTGGACATCTGGACTTTAATTGATGTTTGCTACTCTCGCCCATAACTGAGAAAAAGGGTATCACTTCTGATTTTTAAATAGAGGGAAGACAGAAGATGTGGGTAGAAGTGCTAATGTGTTTGAAAATACAGATTCGAGATCAAACTGCAGGAAGCCAACATGGTGCAACTGCTGAATTAGAATAATTGATATCCACATTAAAGACAGGAGCTGGTGAATAATCACGGTTTTTAAATTTACAGCCCATATTTTCCATTCAGTACAGTAGCAGTGGGGAGAGCATGCACATAGAAATCCTTTTAGAGACACATCCTGTAGTGGAAAGCGGAACATTTTCGACTGAAGGTCTAACTAACCATGCAATTGACATCTCTGAAGCGCTTTCTCTTCCTGGTCACTGTGTAATTATGCTCTTCACTGTGCTATTCATGGCCAGAGTGCTGCTGGACACTGGGCCGTGATGATAAAAGCCCCATTATTGCACTAGTCTGGAGTCAGGCGTCTATGTCATGCCTGCTTAATTCCCTCTAAAAGCTCCTGCTGCATGTGGTCTGCTTTGTTTGAAACCATAGAGGAGCGTGTAGACTGTAGAGCTTTAGTCTGGGCTTATGCTGTGTCAACGGGTGGAAGGAACATTCTGGCATCTAAGCCAGATCCGTGCATGAATAAACCCTAACAGTGAGCATTTATAGGTGTATGACTGACATATTGAGGGTGACGTTTCCTATATCATATGAGGCACATTTCCACTGACGTTCCTGAATGTTTTGATGAACTAAAGAGTTCCAGAATTGTCTTAAACTAGAATAGTGCTCCAGTACTCCAGTACAGTTTCATGGACTTGTAAAATCTATGTCAAGACATATTGAAGCTGTTCTAGCTGCCTGTGTTGGACAGACACCTTACTAAGGCACTTTATGCTGGATTTTCTTTTAACATGCTACTCATCTGTATCTAGTACAGTAGTATGCAGTTTGGGGAGTGCCTTAAGTATTCACAACTCTAATAAATAATCTACTACCACTGGTATTACAGAAGTGTTCTTCTTTCGGCTGCTCCCATTAGGGGTTGCCACAGTGGATCATTCGTCCACATATTTGATTTGGCACAGTTTTTACACCGGCTGCCCTTCTTGACGCAACCCTCACCAATTTTATCCAGGCTTGGGACTGGCACTGGGAGTGCACTGTCGTGTCGTGGCTGGGGCTGGTTCCCTGGCCGAGAATTGAACCCGGGCCACAGCGGTGAGAGTGCCGAGGCTGAACCACTAGTCCTCCAGGGACCCTATTACAGAATAATCATAAAAATCAAAAATGTATTGTGCACATTAACCTGACTCTGACAGTTACTGAATATAAGGTAAAAGTGCAAAGCCTTTTACTTTCAACAAGAGCTTGTCGGTTAGATCTCACATTGACTCTGATCAGCAATGTTAGTACTGTACATCAACAACTAGTGATATCCTGCAATATTTATAAACAGCACATATCCTACAGACTGTGAGGTCAATCCCTGTGGATACCTGTACACATCTTAAGGGTTAATGTTAGTAATCTAGCCTGCTAATCCTTGCTCGGTATTTACTACGTTGATTGTCTTACTTTTTCTCAGTCCTTTCATGCCTAAAGTTGTGATGAGGTTTCACTTATCGGAAGTGGAGTATAATAAATACATACAAATTTCTCAGCAATTCCAGCTTGACACCCTGATACAGCACTGACCATGAAACTGTTACTTGATTATCAGTGCAGCTCATTGCAGTTTAAGAACATTATATTATACGGTATTTATTGTCCCCTGACTCATTCATCTTTTTCTTCATAACTTGAATTTTATCATAGATTTCTGATTAGATTTAACACTTTAATGCAACATTGTGGCTAGTGAAAAGACTTACTGAGAAGGCTTACTTAAAAGTACAGCCAGCCAGACAGAGAAAAGTTTCACCTACAGATGTCAGAACAGATGTAATAATTAGCAGTTTGATTTACAGAATATTCTCTTGATTTCATAAGAATCATCATCATCATCATCATCATCATCATCATCATCACTCCTGTATTGCTGTATAACTGCAAATGTCCTCAAAGATGTTATTATTACTCTTTGTGTGAGAAGGCCTTGAAATATATTGTGTATTTGACCTCATATATAAAATGAAACAGTGTGTTTTAATGTTTAAATAGTGGGGATTTGACTGTAGTCGATGAATCAGCTTAGAAAACAAGAATCCATTCAGCAATACCTTATTTACATTCTGCATGACTGTGACACAATAATAATAATGATAATAATGATAATAGTAATGATAATGATGATTATTATTATTATTATTTTTGTTTGTTTGTTATTACACAATTAATTCAAAGTGAGGTCTACGGTTCTCACACAGCACATCGTGACAGCACCAAAAAGTGTGAAGCCGTGTAAGAGGTGGTTGCTGCGGGTTGCACGAAGGTTCGGCAAGTGCTATTAAATGTCACATTTGCAGTACTTTGCACTAACAAGTATTCACCCCTTTTGAACTTTTCCTCATTTTGTAGTGTTCCAACCTGGAACTGAAATAGACTTAATTGGGATTCATTGAGGTTATATGTCATGAATCTGTACACCAAAGCCCATAATATTGAAGTGGAGGGGGAAAAAAATCAATACAGTTTCTGGTGTTGTAGTTTCCAACCAGTGGCCAACAGAAAGCACTGTATATACTGAATACTGTATATCCCTCAAATGGCATTTCATTGTTTTCATTGTGTGTATTTATCCAAAAAAAAAATATAATAACATGGTTGTCAGGGTGAACTATTGTTGTTACAGGATATTTTTAGACAGTGGCACTGGACTTAATACAGTTCATTACTGGAGTTTATATCATGGAAAAAGAAAAGCATTGGCTTTTAGTAGGTTTTTTGTGTATAAATTCCAAAGCTAGTGTCATGATAGTGCCAATGGGGGGATTAGAACTACACTTCCCATCAGCCCCAGCACGTCACATGGTTTCAATCACTCTCACCTTGAGTAGCACCACTGTATAAGTTCCTGTGCTGCAGCATCTTATTGTCAAGCTTTTGTTGTTATTGCGTTCATGTGTTATTGTCTATGCCACTCGCTCATAGGCTGCATGTTTTTGCCTTGTATCCATTGCTTTGGTGTATGGGTCCTGTTTTCATGTTTCTAGTTGTTGTGTTTGCACTTTGCGTAATAAAAATATCTGCACTTGCATCCGTCTCCTCCGCCATTCCATCAGCGTGATGGAATGATAGATCAGCATTTACACACAAAGCTTTCGCATTTCATCACCTGATTCAAAGAGGCCAAGATGAGACTGAAAGAATAAAAAGGGATTTTGATAGCAACATTCATTTATCTGTCACAGAAATAAAATAAAATAATCAAAATGAATCGCCATTCCAGTACTAGAATTTTAGTTACTTTTCTCTTTAGACTGATTTTGTTGAATGTACAGATAATGAGAATGGTTTAAACACAAATTAGTGTTGGTAAATAGCACCCAAACGTGTTGATTGCAGAAAGCAGCAGTACTTAAGTTGAAAGTTAGTGTCATAAACAAAAAGCAGATGAAAAAGGAATTGTTGTCAACAATGAAAGACTATTTGTAGTAGAGATAATGCGCATCGCTTTTCTTAATTTGGATAACGTTTTCTAATTCCGTCTTCAAGGGAAGCAAATCTCCAAAGAGAAAAAGTAGAGAGAACAAGAAACATGTTTTTTATGCCAGAGTAAACGCCTGCATTCCTGCACAAGCTCTTTCTCTGTCTGTCTGTCTGTCTGTCTCACAAAATACACTTCCACACACACAGCATATAGACAAAGTGAAAGACATCACATGGAGGCAGATGTGATAAATAAAAAAAAGACAGGAATCATCTATCTATTCGTAAAGAACACATGTATGCTGGTAGTGGAATAAAGATGAATTAGTACTGATAGTAGGTGCTATACTGCTGTAGGCATATGACAGCACTGCTTCACTGCCTGCTGAATAGAGCTAATGGCATACAGGGGTGTTCTCTGGTTTCAACTCTCACTGCAGGTCCATTCTCATCTGGCCTCCAGCATGATGGAGTTATCACAGCGGTGCGGCTCATCTTCAACTGCCCCAATGCTCAGAGTTTGGCCAGGCTTGCTTACTGCTGGCACAGGCAATGTTTTGATCCACCGTAGGGAGGTAATGGAATCGCGGTGTCCGACAGCTGTTTGTCTTCCATCGATCCGCCTCACCGTCTGCAATCCTCAGGCACTGGCACATTGCTTGGAATTATTGCATGTGCTGTGTGTGTGCGTGTGTGTGTGTGTGTGTGTGTGTGTGTGTGGACTGATATTTATCTGAAGTTAATTAGAGACAGTGTACTGTGATACCACTTTGAAACGAGAAACCCACAGACTGATACTGCGCAGTAAAGTAGCAAGAACAGATTGGAAGGGCTGAGTGGTGGGTAGTTACAAGCTTGTTCATCCAAGCCCGTTTTTTGTGCCAGTATCCTTTCCCTTATTTGTTCCAGCAAATCATTTGGAGCTCCCACATGAAGAAAGACGACCAAGCCAAGCGGATATGGCTTGAGGCCATGTCATATTGTAGCATCCATTAGAGCTCTCATTTTGGTCAACCAAGCACTAACTGGTGCTTTACACACTAAAGTCATGATCCATGTAGTGTCTCCAGATGACTTCTTAATTGTCTATGAGCATGTAATGGCACTATCAGACCCTGCTTTTTTCTCTCCAAATAAAGAGCACTAATAGCGTGTGTAATTTAATAAATTGGGTGTGAACTTAGTGGATGTGTTATGGGGAATTTACAAAAAAGAACTGCCTGGATTTGCTCCGTGGGGTTACTCCAGTTGCATTGGGGGCACCAAGCTCCTGATTTGTGTTTATTTTCATCGTCATCCACTGCCTATCTTGGGAACACTGGGCGCAAGACGAGAATATTCTCTTAATGGGATGCCATCCTATTCACACACACATACACACATTTACGCCTATTTAGAGTCTCCAATCCACCTACATGCATGTTTTGGGGAGATGGGAGGAAACCCGGAGAACCCAGAGAAAACCCACAAGGCCACAGTGAGAACATGTGAGACTCTGCACAGACAGTAACCCGAGCTCAGGATCAAACGAGGAGACCTGGAGCTGTGAATTGTAGTTATTCACAAAGCACTGAATTCAGAATGATGACAAAACTTCACAGTTATATAATTATGCCATTATTATTATTGGTCAATTGCGATCTGTTCGTTTTGCATGTGGGTTGTTATGCTGGGTTGCTAAGTAGCTAACAATAGTGAATTTCAGTGAGTCAGCTCAATTTTAACTCAAAGTTAACTCCTTTCATCAGTAAGCCAGCTTTCGCTCTCCAAAATCACTCTGTTCTTAAACTCATCCAGTTAGCGATATCATAACCACTCATTTTTAACTGTTATTAAGTGAAATCTAATTCTACCTTCTACATCTGTTTTCAATATGCTAATGATTAAAAAACAATAAGTTAAACTCTAAATAAATAAAATAAATGAACAATAAATAAACTCTAAATAAATGTAAAAAAAAAGCAAGATGTTACACATTTTACAAGATGTGGCATTTTATTTAAAAAATATAAGTTAAAAAATAAGCATAGTAGAACAATGCAAACAAATTAAGCTTACTTTACTGATTTTGATTGCTATCTTGATGTGATATAATTAACTACTACTAAAATAAGAGATAGAAACCAGTGACAAAAGCAGTTATTACAGGCATTTCTCTTCCTTATACTGTGGTTTGGAAATTTATTCCGTTTTTTTGTTAATAAATGAAATCATGATTGATTGAACAGATGATAATATCTAGGTACAGTTTGTGCATTCATCTATGCTGACAGAGGAAGAACACATTTAATTCACACATTCAGTTTCGTTCTTGATAGCGGTGAGGAGTTCAAATCTCAAAAAGACTGCTGGAAAAGTATATTATTGCAAATTATGTCCAGTATAACAGTAAAAATCAGTATCATGCTTAAAAAGAAAATGCAGTATGAATGTTAAATGAAACAGCGTAGACATAATTGTGTGTCTTTAAGGCAAATACTGCAAAGATGTGGCCGATCATCTAGTATGAAACCACCATTACACCAATATTAAGTCATAGCTTGAAAAACTTGATTTTATCTTGTCTGGGAGTGCACAAAAATCGAATTCATTTGCTCGCACATTCGATGACTCCGAAGTGACCATCAGGCTTAGTAAATTACACTGAGAATACAAAATAAATCTAGTT